CATATAAACCCACCAAAGGCTTGTCATATTCGCTAAAGCTAATATCGCTTTTAGGAAAGCATATTCCTAAGTTTTCAAGCCGTCGATTTGATTTTCTGGATCACGTTTTAGTATGCATTCTGGTTCGCGTTTTGCATGTTGAATTACTTTATTAACTATTGAAGCGGAGTTCATAACTGCAACGACTTGTGCTTGTCAAGCTATCTAATCACGGAAGATTCTTGAAGAACTCTATTTCAAGCAACAAGGACCAACTCACATTTTTTGCGACAACACTTTCGCAATTAAGCTCTCCAAGAAGAAAACATTGATGTGAAATATCACTTTTTAAGGGATTTTACGAAAGAAGGAATAATGATTTAATTTACTTCACGAGTGAAAGATCAAGTTGCTAACATATTAACAAAGCTTCCCAAAATGGTTACATTTTAGAAGTTGCATAAGTTGCTAGTCGTTTGCACATTTTATCCAAACTCTGAAAAACAATTACATCAAACATTTGTGGATTTTTGATGTGTATCAAATGTGATCATCTCGATCGAAGTGTGTATAGACAACTGTATCAAATGGCTTGCTGGTAGATGAAGTACTCCTGTTTCATTGCTTCTGTGCCAACAAATTTAGCTAAATTTTTGTCAAAGTCAATAATCAACTTTAACCACACAATTTTATGGGACCCACAATTTTTAACTACACATTCTATCAACTTTTATCAAAATCTATTAAAAATTCTGATTGTTATCTACACCAAATAGGGGCTTAGTACCAAATACTGATTTGAATTATTCTATGTACTGCTGGCTGAAAATTGTCATTCTTGAATATATGCCATGCATGGATTACAGCCTTGTATTCTGCAGGGCCATGCGTTCTATGAGTTTTTACTACATTCAAATTATTTTGAATATAATCCCATTTAATCATAAAATTAAAAGACCCTGGTGGAGAGAAATTATATAAATCTATTTTGATTTTGATGATGACTAAAACGAAGTGGCAGAAATTTAAACAGGGTAATGCTATTGATTATTGGAAATTTTGTAAAGAAAGAGCTCGTATGTTTGCTGGAAATTTGCTTAGTTGAGTATTACAGGGCTTTTTCTTCCTTATAAAGGCTATAAAATTAGAGTTGATCGTTCTTGTCTTGTCGAGTTACAGAGTCCGATCCAATGATGTGTGCCCTGCTTGGAAGGATTTCATTGGCCAGGGTGTTTAGTGACGACTGCTAGATGGGAGTAAACTAATGAGCTCGGATATTCTATAGAAGAGTTATCTATCGACTTACGCCTTACCATGACGTTACTCTATCCTGAGGAAAAATGGCTTATTTGATTTAATTCCCAAATGAGTCACTTGTAGATAAAATCAATGCATAGGTTGTAGCCGCAACCTAAGTTATCATTGCTTTTTTAATTAGTGGAAGCAAGCGGTGTTGATTTTGTCTTTGACTTTAAGCTCTTTTGACTACCTTGAAGTGGAATGATCCGATGTGACCTTCTCATATCGGAAACCAACATATTTGATTCAAAGAAAGTAGGGGACACATGCATCGCAACTTTGTGACAATAAAAAATGTCAATAACCATACAACATATTGATCATGTGTAGTACCAGAATTGAGTTAATTAAATCACTCATCACTAGCTTTTAACTCTGGTTACTACTTGCTCATTCAAAAATAAAAAAATATTGACTATTAACTCTCTTTTACAAAAACTTACACATCCATCACCTGATTTTTTTCCATCCGTCTATTTGGACAAAAAGTTACATGTGGAAGACGAAAATCCTACGTGTCAACAAACTCCGTTAATTATTGCCACCTGGAAAAAAAAAATTAATTCAACTTACAATTTTCCCGTCAAATATGCAAGAAACGTTCCTTTTTTCCCTTACCCAAATCAAATTCAATTTTCCCAATTCTTTACACTAAGCCCCAACTGTGAATCAATGTTTCTCCCCTACAAATCGATTTCCATCAAAATCATGAAACAATCTCTCCTTCTACACATATATTCCCAAGCAAAAAAGGAATCGAAATCACTCGAAATCGCTCAAATTGAAACTACTTTGCTTGGGTAGATTCATGTTTAAGGACTGCAATAAATGGCTTCATCCACAGGTCAAATGTGTCAAATTGTACTTTGGGAAGAGGAATAGGAGTGACCTACAAAGCCCACTAATAGCAGGCACTGAAGAAGCAAATCTGGAGACAATAGAAGGGGCACCACAAGGAGGTAAATAGTTTTAACATTTTTTTATGAAATGAAACTTTAAGTACCCACATCTTCTTTTTTATATATGCAGTATATGAATTCCACCTTGTTATTGGACCACATCCATTCATGTGATTTAGAGTTTGATCGGGATTCGATTTGGGTTTCACGTGAATTTGTTTGCCTCATTTATATGATTTTGGGTTTTCATAGCATCAAGAATTCATATTACTCTATTGATGTTTATGAAACACACTAGCAACATGTATCAAATCTCAGCTTCCATAAACTAATGACTTGTGTTTTTCCTTAACACTTCACAAACTTCACACTAGGCCAATCAGACTTATACACATTCATATTTATAGCAGCCCACAGCTTCCTAAAATTTTATATTACTTGAAGTTCACCCATTTTCTTGTTTCTATATTATAGCCATTGGATTTTGGGTTGTATACTCATGATGCTCAGATACTTAACTTTGCAGATAATACATTTGAAGATGACGCCATGGTACCCATTGAATGTCATTTGAATGATTCAAACGATGATATCAACGATGATGGTTTTCAGTTTGACAATAATTCAAGTGAACATATTTTGGTTGGATTGAATGCAGACCCCGCCGTCGAACTTCAGGCTATTATAGAGTGAGCACATATATGAACTGTTACGAGAATATAATCAATCCTATCAACGGAACAACATTATGGCCTCGAGTGGATGCTCTCCCAGTGAAACCACCAGAATGGGTTTTGCCTAAAAGTGGAAGAAAACAGAAGAAGAGGAGCAGACATGAAGAAGAAGATGTTTTAACTCGTTCTGGGTCCAAAGCAAAGTTGAATAAGAAGGGTGCTATGCGTATTACTTGTAGTGCTGTGGATTAATAGGCCACAACAAGAGGTTTCATAAAAAAACTAATGCACCACATGAGGTTGGTTTATAGTAAAATCTACATTGTGGTTTTTATTATTTTCCAAACTATATGAACAATTGATCTTTGTTTAAATGCTTGTTACATGATTGGTATTATGGGGCTGCAGATCCTGTAAATGAAGGAAGCTCCAGCCACGTTGGAGTGAAAGTTCAAGGGTATGCAACTTCATCCTAATATCGTCCATTAATAAGCATGTGAAATAATTTTTGTAATCATATATGACGACTTATACAGGAAAAACTCTTGCCTAGGAGACCATGGAGGATGCCTATATCTGAAGTGTTACCATTAGAACCAGTATCTAATTTTCAATACATGCCAACCCCTGGAATTGGTTTAACTAGTGGGGCACATTTTACAGACTATGGTCCTGTACTTAATGTGCTAGGTAGTTCAACAATGGGTAAAGCTCCACTTGAATCCTTGGTAGAAGACTTGCAATTGATAGATAAGTAAGAGAAAGAAAGAAAGAGGGCAGCCATAATAAGAAATAAAAGGATTGTTCGAGGGTCAATTCCATCTTCAACTCCAGGGAAAAATTCAGCAACTTAGTAATGTTATCATTTTGTTTCATGGGTGTGTTTTGGGTTTTGAAGAAAAGAAACGATGATGCACTAATGTAATTTTGTGATTAATTTCTATGTTGCATAACAGTTAAATGTTGTGAAGTGGAAATTAATTTGGTGTAATGTTGAACTTGATCAGATGGAGTTAGAATGAGATTGTGTTATTAATTTGTTGTTCTGGTAATCATAGCTGAATTCCAAAATACTATTTTCACAAACTAATTATATGTTTTTCAATTCCAAGATGGCATTAAACCAACGTAAAACTAAACATAAATGTTACTAAGATGAACACAACAGGAACCCGTTCAATTTGAAACTCTAAAGTACATCGGGTTTCCTTTGTATGATTTCACATCCATTAACACTAGTGCACCTACCATTACAACCATTTGGAGCTTCATAATATAGCAAACAGAAGGCGGAAGATGCCCGTGGAAGAAGCTTTCGGCCATAAAAGCAAAATCCGTAGAATCGAACTTGCTCTCGATGAACGAGTTGCATCTCACGATCTGTCGAGCATAGTGGCTGGCTAGAATGAATAGATGAATTATGGGAATACTCTTGTCCAATTTCCCCTGGAAATACTTACAAACAGTGGGATGTGAAGAAGAATGTTTCAAGTCTTCGAGATTAAGCTTTTGCCAGAGGACCGGTATGTAAATGCGGAATTGTGCTTAGCCAGAATGAATAGAGGAATTATACAACTTCAATCTTGATTTTGATGGAAATCAATTTGTAGGGGAGAAGAAATTGATTCACGGTTAGGCTCAGTGTAAAGAATTGGGAAAATTGAATTTGATTTGGGTAAGAAAAAAGAAGTTTCTTGACACTGAGAATACTGGAAGGTTCGCAATAGAAGGCCGGCCACAGCGATGAAGAGTCAAGAAAAGGAGCTGGAACTCAGTGTCAAGATTTGCATCGAAGAACAATTGCCCGAAGACCAAAAGAATTTGATTTGGGCAAGGGAAAAAAGGAACATTTCTTGCATATTTGAAGGGAAAAATGTAAGTTAAATTAATTGTTTTTGTCCAGGTGGCAATAATTAACGGAGTTTGTTGCACGTAGGATTTTCATCCGCCACACGTAACTTTTTGTCCAGATAGACGGATGGAAAAAATCGAGTGATGGATGGATAACTTTTTGTAAAAGAGAGTGAGCAGTTGGTAACCTTTTATTTTTGAATGAGCAAGTAGTAATCAGAGCTAAATGTGATGAGTGATTTAATTAACTCCACCAGAATTATTCATTAGATTGTATAATCTTATATAAACATCCCCTTCAAGAATACGAAAAAAGTTCAGAGACTACAGAACAGATGTTTGAAAGCTGTATCAGGTTTCGATTCTTCTCTGATATAGGAGAGTTTCCATTGAAACCGGCTTCACAATCGCGGGCCGAATTCTCAACATCAAGCGCCAGTTTATCCAATCCCTCAAAAGTTTCAGAATCCAAATCATTCAATGCTTCAGAAAGTGCCTGAATGGCTTCCTTATAATCTCCCTGACATTTCTGCATAGCTTCTATAATGTCATCCTTGGCATGCCCTTCCATGGACTCAAGTGAAATGTCAATGTAATCACTGGTATTTGTAGCATTTTTATATGCCAGCCCGAACACTATATACGAAAGAAGATACCTGTCGGCTTTCGGGGCTCGTGTATCGGAGTAAACTGCAGCTTGGCAGAAACTGAAATTTGTAGTGTTTTTGCAAACTTGGGTGGCTAGTTCAGAAGAATTTACATCAGGAGTGGCAGAATTGCTACCCAAGAACATGGCACTTACACAAAAAAGGAAGAAAATGGAGAGCCTAAAAGAATTGGAAATAGCCATTTTTATTTTGTTTTCAGATCAATGGATGGGTTGAAGAAGAAAAGATAAAAGAAATGCTTGATAAGAAATGTGAGTCTCTGGTTTTGTACGTATTATATAGAGGACAAAAGGCATGATGTATACGGTATGCATTCAACATTATCTCTCTCTCAAGAAAGATCCATACAATACATAATATATATATATAGAGGACAAAAGGCATGATGTATACGGTATGCATTCAACATTATCTATCTCTCAAGAAAGATCGATACAATACATAATATATATAGTGAGTGATTATTATTAGAAGTTGATACTCTGAAATTGGGGGTTCTATGGAAGTATTCAGCCAAATAATGTTATTCATAGTGAGTGATTATCAGTAGTCACCCTATGTAACATCATATGTGTCATGATTTTAATAATTAAAAAAAAAAAGGAAACAATCAAATGGATTTCATATTAACCTGTTCGAGTCCTATTATTTGGCAAAAAATGCATTTTTAAATAGTAAATTGATGGAAAATATATGATTAAAAAATACTAAAAAGTTTTGATTTACGTGTAATATTATTTTATTGAAAAATGTGTGGTTGAAAAGAAAAAAAGAAAAATATATTTTGAAAAAAATAGAAATCAAACAATGACTAATAATGAATCAATAAAAAATAGGATGTCACGCAGGGCAACTACAGTAATCATCGACTACTAATAGCATTACTCAACACCCCCTTTCGTTAATGCGCATGACATTTCCCAAGAAACGGATTTTGACATTTCCACTTTTGCCCTTGCCTTGAAAGATGAAAAGTCCATTTCACCCCTGTTCATTTCCCCTAAACCTGCACATTTCCCCCAAATCCTTTTATTTCCAAATTCTGATATGTTAGGGGTAATTTTGTCATGCACTAGAAAATTGCTTAATGAGACGGGAGCTAAGAAGCCAAAATTTTCATAATTTCTCTGCCAACCAACTGTAAATTATTCATTAATGATCCCATACATTGGCATCGAAAAATCCATTTTTAGGCAAAAATTCTACTTCGATGCTTATTACTATATTGCTAAGTATGGTATAACCCACACTTCTAAGTTGTAACAAGGACATAAGTAAAGACCAAGTATGGTATAATCAATTACTGTAATCCAATTATATGTCCATAATCTGCACAAAACTAGACCAAATCACAGGGACTTTCTACATACATTAATATAAACGATATGTTCCCAATGAGTTAATCCCCAGCCCCACGTACTGGGGATTAATTCACAGGGGCTCATCGGTCACTCACATGGTAGGCTCCATAATGTATTAAAAAAAATTATGAGTGACCCACATGTGAGAGTGTCCTGTAAGGGACCTGTGAAACATATCTATGTATGTGAAGCATGATTCATTTCCAATAAATCAAGTAGTGGCTACAATACTTCCTTGGACAACTACCTTTACAAGTTACGACTTTTTGCGAAGAAAAGGACCGAGCTCATCATAATAAAAGAAAAAAATTCCCAATAATTGATTTACAAAAAAGCGAAGAAAAAAGACACTGCCAGGAAATTAAAAAAAAATAAAAATTACATCGATAAAATATTTTTTTTATTATTGAAAATTATAAAAAATAATTTGAGGAAAAATTAATGTTTAAATAAATTATCTCAAACAAATGCTAAGAATATACTTGAGAGAGACATAAAAGAAAGAAATTAAGAAAAAGAAAATAAATAAGTGGCGTGTATTTGCTGGTTATCAGGAGATCTTCCTTGCGTTCATTTATCAACACACACTCCCATGTCCCAGTATATAATTTGTAAATTATAACCAATCATCAATCTCAATACGGAATTGAATTACTTACTTTAGTATAGTTGATTTGCTGGTGGGCTTAGAGAATGCCAATGGCGGCAGTCGCATCATCATCGTCATCTCTTATTGGATTCAAGAATTTCTCTGGGCAAAATAAACTGCATTGTAGCGGGTTCAAGCCCACCATTGCTTCCTCCAAATCGGAGCTGTTTTGTGGTTCTATTGATTTCAATCTCAAAGAAACCACCCGCAGATGCAATGTTACCCGCAGATTACCTGTTACTCGGGTCGTCTCTCCCAAAGCTGTTTCGGATTCAAGTTCTTCCCAGACTTGCCTCGATCCCGATGCCAGCACTGTACTCTCTCTCTCTCTCTCATTCCTTTATGGGTCTTGGGAGTACTATTAGTATAAACCTTTATGGGTCTTGGGAGTATTATTAGTATAAAGTTTGAGTTGATGTTCCTGAAATGCATGTCTGTACTTCTGAGTCGTTTAATTTATATCTTATTGAATTAGCAAATGAGCAACTAAAGATATTAAATTACAGGAATTCTTTAAAGGTTCTGCTTAGTTAATTGCTATAGTTTGCAGCAGATCTAGGATATATAAATAGGGGACCACAGAGGTTGACATTTATTTAGGAATTCTATTTTTTTTTCTTTGCAACGAAATTGTAGGCTGAAATCATTATTAAATAGTGTCAAAATTCGGAGTTTTTATAAGGAGAAAATACCAAAATTTTAAAAACTTGTTTGCTCCCTAATGATCCGCCTGTGATGCTTGTGACTCTCATTTATACTTATATTATGTGTTTAATGAAGTAGAATTGTATGAATGGCCAGAAGTAGCCTCAAGTTCTGTTTCCGGTTTGTACCAGAGGTTCATGGGAATCCTCATTTGATTGTGAATTATTGTTTTGAATATTAAGTTCAATATACGTATGATGGCATCACTTCAATGAAATCCTGAAGTAGAATTTTATGGTAATACCTATTAGTATGAGAAGTGTGAGTCATTATATTAATTCAAAACTTGAGAGACCAACTTAAGGGCCTGTTTGAGCCCCCCCTTTTTTTTGTGTGGAATGCATTTTGGAATAGTAGATTGATGAAGAATGCCTGATAAAAAATGAAGGAAAAGTTTTTGAGTTGCTTGTAATATTATTTAATGAAAAATGTATGGTTGAAAAGAAGAGACCGAACAATCAAGACGTTTCCTATGTAACAAGAATGGACTGATATGTTTTTGATACATGTGGTTTTCCAAAATCAAAGCTATGTATTCTTCATAAATTGTGTTAATCCTAATCCAGGCAGTTTCCTAGAACCTGTTACTCTGCATTTCTGTTTGCGGTGATTTTAGAGAACAAGAACTCTCCAACTGAGATGCCTTTATTTCTCCCGAAAATTTCTTAAGGCTGTACACACTCTTCCTAGTGTGGAAGATATGTAAAACGATCACATTCCTTCCTTCCCTGCTAAATTAATCATTTAAATGGGAGCATTATCAGAATCATAGTACTTGGATGTGTTTGTACTATATTCTAGGAACAGGTCTTGCATTTCTTTTACCTTCATTGGAACTAATTATGTTGGCATTGTTCATTCAGAGTGTTCTGGGCATCATTCTTGGAGGTGGAGCTGGGACTCGGCTTTATCCTCTTACCAAGAAAAGAGCAAAACCTGCTGTCCCTTTGGGTGCAAATTATAGGTTGATTGACATTCCTGTTAGCAATTGCTTGAATAGCAACATATCAAAGATCTATGTCCTCACTCAATTTAATTCTGCATCTCTGAATCGTCACCTATCACGGGCCTATGCAAGTAACATGGGTGGTTATAAGAATGAAGGGTTTGTTGAAGTTCTTGCTGCCCAGCAAAGCCCAGAAAACCCAAACTGGTTCCAGGTAAGAGGATGAGACATTTTATAGCTTCAAGGTGTTCGTGATGGACCCATTTTTTCTGAATTGTCAAGTTTATAGCGAAACTTAATTGTGTTCTTCAGTGGAATTTATATAGCTGGAAGTTTTTGTAGCCATTGTTTCTGGATTGTATTGGGCTTCTAAATCTGGAATATTTGTACTGTTGGCACGTGTGCTAGGAAGGATTGGCTACTACTGCCTTCTGGACAGAATTAAATTAGATAAAAAGTTAAAATCTTGTTCATGATACTGATTGTTTAGCAATATGCACCAGACATGCTCTTTATGTTACACGCATGCTTACCTACCTTAACACATCTACATGAAAGTGAAATTTTCAAGATATCATAATTCATCTATAAATTTACTCATATTATTAGCTGCAAGGTTTCTGTGCTTATGTGTTCTTGGATAAAACATAGAGGGAAACGCTGAAATGTAGTTCATCAATTGTAAGACTTCTTCAGCAGAAGATCCTCTAGTTATGCGTACACATTCATGTAATACAAATAGATGTCTCTTGAAATTCTCTTCATTGCTTACCTACTGATAAACAGGCTGCTTCATCGTCAATTTACTTGGGCTTGGTTAAGCTCATTCCCAACAGATATTCATTCTTATCTGGAGCAACCCATAATTATGGGCTTATTTAGCACTTCAGGATGAGCTATAGAGAAAGTTTAGAAAATATTTTCTCCTAAATATAATTTTCCAAGTATTTCAACATGAGGTATGGAATTCGAAGATATTAGCTAATTGAGTATGACTTTTCCTCTAGGGGAAGAATAATATAATCCCCTAAGTCAGTGTTGTGGCATCTATCTACTGATAGCAATTTTATGGTATTTATTGTTGAAATCGTTGGTGTTCCTGTCAACTGCATTTTTGTCTTGATATTCTCCTCTCATGTGCTGGTTTTCATGTTTTTTTGTTCGACCTCTCTCTCACTCTGTGTGCAAAAACATAAGCTTCCGAAATGGAAAAGGGGCATCTATTTGACTCTTTTATCTGGGAAATATTAGGGCACAGCTGATGCTGTGAGGCAGTATCTATGGCTTTTTGAAGAACACGATGTTCTTGAATATCTCATTCTTGCCGGGGATCATTTATACCGCATGGATTATGAGAAATTTGTCCAAGCTCACAGAGAAACTGATGCTGATATAACGGTTGCTGCACTGCCAATGGATGAAAAACGTGCCACGGCATTTGGTCTAATGAAGATTGATGAGGAAGGAAGGATAATAGAATTCGCTGAGAAGCCAAAAGGAGAACAATTGAAGGCAATGAAGGTAAAACTGCAAACACAAATTATTTCATTGGTTTATTTGTTTTTGTATCAAGGATTGAGTAATTTAAGTGGAAACCAAACCAGCAATTTTTATTTATTGTATTATTACATGAGCTTTTTGACTGTAGAGAAATCCGTTCTTGTAATTTTTATTTTATTTTATTTTTTCATTTGTCCTTCATTTTCATCGTAGGTTGATACCACCATTTTAGGTCTTGATGATGAGAGAGCAAAGGAAATGCCTTATATTGCAAGTATGGGCATATATGTTATCAGTAAGGATGCGATGTTGAGTTTGCTAAGAGAGACATTCCCGGGAGCCAATGATTTCGGAAGTGAAGTTATTCCAGGTGCTACTTCAATTGGAATGAGGGTAAGTCGTATTAAAGAAATCAATATTTTGTTGGACACATAACCCTTTGTGTATCAGGTTAAGGCATGTTTCTGTATTCCGTTATTCGCCTTTTCTTTCCTATTTTTCATTTTGTTTTTGGTGTTTATCAGGTTCAAGCCTATTTGTATGATGGCTACTGGGAAGACATTGGTACTATCGAGGCTTTCTACAATGCCAATTTAGGGATCACTAAGAAGCCAATACCAGACTTCAGGTCAGTTTTCTTGATGTCTTGGCTCGAGGGTCAAAATTTCCTTAGCCCCCTTCAAACCCCTCCCCAACCCCCACCCCACCCCAGCGCCAGCTCCTTTCTTTTTTTACATTTTACATGTGAGTGTCCTGTGTGCTGTAGCTTCTATGACCGTTCCTCTCCAATCTATACACAACCCCGATACCTGCCACCTTCGAAAATGCTTGATGCCGATGTTACTGACAGTGTTATCGGTGAGGGGTGTGTCATTAAGGTGAGATCCATTTGTTCCAAATGGACATATGTAGAGGAAGTTCAGTAATCAAATTGTTTGAGAGGTTCTAGCTGATTTAATTGGTTCATTCTTAAATTTGCAGAATTGTAAGATTCACCATTCCGTAATTGGTCTGCGATCCTGCATCTCAGAGGGTGCAATAATAGAAGACACTCTACTGATGGGAGCTGACTATTACGAGGTAATTGTCTTTGGACATTGAAAATCGATTCTTTTTCTTGGCATCTATCGTGGGTGAGGACATGTTATATGTGCTTGCACATGTGAAGTCAACATTGTACGTTCTAGTAGTAAGACTGTTATTGCCTCCTGCACCAGACTGATGCCGACAGAAGACTTTTGGCTGCAAAAGGTAGCGTTCCAATTGGTATTGGGAAGAATTCTCATATCAAGAGAGCAATTATTGACAAGAATGCTCGCATCGGAGACAATGTGAAGGTTGATTTCTTATTCCTTGCTAATTACAATATTAAGAGCTTGTTTGGCAAAGGTTTCTGCTTCTGGTTTTTGTAGAAGGGCTCCTGAGGAAGTCACCTTAGATCAGCTTCCTCTAAAACCTTTTACAATCAGACAAAGCACTTTCAAACAAAATGTCAAAAAGCAACTTCTTAATCTCAGAAGCAGATTTTTTAAACCCCTGCCAAATGTATCCTAAACCCGAGAGGTCGTGTACTAAACACCAATTCGAGGGAGGAAGAAGACTTACTGGCTAGTTTTCACCGACAAGTACCTAAAGGAATTTTCTCCCTAATCTCTCTTTCGGTTCTTCTTTTAAAATAGTTGTTAAGTAGCTTAAGAAACCGCAGGCTGCTCAATGCTTATAGTTACTATTCTTACAGATCATTAACAGCGACGACGTGCAAGAGGCAGCAAGAGAGACAGATGGGTACTTCATCAAGAGTGGTATCGTTACTGTGATTAAGGATGCTTTAATTCCCAGCGGATCAATTATTTGAAGTCTGACAAAATTGCCTTCATAGTTCTTTCGACAAAAGCTGTTTCTTGTTCCTGAACTGTGAACATCCTTTTTGGACTCTTAGGTTCTTAATATTTGATAAATTCCAAAATCTATGAGATGCTTTCAATTTCCTTACACAAAAATTAAAATCCTCCGTAAATATTAAAATTTTATTAATTTTGTCAGGGGGTATCATAGTGAATAAATTACGTCTTTAATTTATTTGGTTCATTTGTGTACGTTATTTTCTTTGAAAGTAATTAATTTTTTTTTATGTTTACGTGTGATGTGATGAAATTTGTAATAGGTTCTCTCACTTTAGCCGTATGATTATTTCTTCGCAATATCTTAGCTTATGTTTTGTTTATAAGCACTTAATTTTTTATTTATTTATACATTTTGAAAAATTTATAAGTATTATTCACTTATTTATTAATTTTGATTTACTTATAATTTAAATCGTTTATACATATTTTTCAAATATGCTTTAATTTCATTTCAACGTAATAAATTGACCATGTTTTATTTACAGATTTTTAAATTTAGACGACAGGTTTGACTACTCATTTCAACGACTTTTAAGCTCCTGTTTGAGCCAAAAAAATTTTACATTCTCATTTTCAATCACACATTCTTCAATAAAATAATATTTTTCATCATATCAATAAATTTTCATTCTTTTTCAACCGCATATTCTCTGTGACATAAAAAAAATGCATTCTTGGGAAAAAATGTGCACCAAACAGGTGTCGAAACATAAATTAAACTATTTATAAGTGATTTGGTACTTGTTTGGTATGAATTTTTGGGGGAAGAATTGATTTTGAATAGTGATATGATGGGAAATGTGTGGTTGAAAAAAAAGAAAAAATTATTGATGTGATGGAAAATATTATTTTATTGAAGAATGTGTGGTTGAAAATGAGAATTGATTTACTGTAGAAAAATTTAATTCCTCCCAAACAGGGCCTAAGTAAGTTAATCAGAAACAAACAACCCCTTAGTTTGGTTCAAAATTGAATATTGATTCCAAATCAATAATTTGAAACCAACAATTCGATTCAATTTTATAGTTTGACAATTTTTTTGTTCAGTTCTATTAGAGTTGACAAAGGTCCTAAAAATAAGTTTCGTTGCTATCAGTTTAATAAAATTATTTTCATGTAAATTTCGATCTAAGAAAATGAACTCCACTTCCACGTGAAGAATTAGGTTAAAAATACAATATAAATGATATAGGCTTTTTTATTTATACAATGAATTTGACATCTCTATATACAGACTCTTTCACGAGAGGGGATCCACGACCAATAAAAATCGTGAACCCTATCTTGTGAGAGAATTTGTACACTCGGTGTACACTTAGCTAAGCGAATGATATATGTATACGACACTGCCACACATTAAACGTGCTCATAGTTGGACACAAAGTCAAACAGATAAATATGTACTTTCCAGTTCCAGATAATACGTACACAAATTGATAAAATGGTTTATTCACCATAATGCCCCTGATAGAACTTGACAAACATGGCAGCTTTCCAAATTTCAGATCCCTCCCCATTCCACGCGTAGCTTGCCCACCGAACCGAACATCAACACGTATGTGTGACACAAGCTATTTTTTGATTAATTAATTTTGATATTTTCACGGAGGAATTTGCGTACTGAAATCTATATTATAATTTTAGACTAACTCACAGATTGGAGAAATGCGACTGGAATTTCATAGATCTGGTATGTTTCTCCTTTTTCTTCTATTTTTATTTGTAACCTCTTTTTTGGAATTATATTTTGTTTGTGCTTTTGGAATTTGGTCAAATGTTAAAGAACATGACTTTTGGAGGGTTCTGCAGAATTTTCTTGTCGGGGAAAACAGAATTGCTCAATCTGTTGCTCTGTAACCCTAATTTGATGAATTGAATGATGCTTAATTTTGTTTTTTTGGGAGTATTTATGTTATGAACTGACTGATTTCGGCTGTCTCCCCCCTTGATGTTTTGTAATTTCGGCTGTCTCCCCCACGGCTTTCCAAAAACTTTGGACTGTACAATAATTTTGTCTTGAATTCAAAAGGTGTTTTGTGATTGCTAGTTGTTTTGATGATGAAAATATGCACTATATTTTTTAGGCCAGTGTTGTTATTTTCTTTCAGCAGGATGGGATGAGTGCAATTTATGATAATTTCATCTCCTTTCGATACTTATTGCTTGTGTACTTAAAATATATAACTCTGTTTTTTTGTTCAACTAATTAATAAAAAAAATGTTACTTGTATGTACTATTCTAATAACTGTAGTTCAGCTCTATAAAAAGAAGCTTGATTAGGAGAACCGCTTCCCCTCGAATGTCCGGCCAAGTGTGTATAAACTGTGACCGCATTCGGATTTACCCGGGTGGTGAACCGGGGGGGGGAAGGCTGTCATTCTTCAGGATTAGTCCGGTGAAGTTCGGATACCTGAGTTATTAAAAAAAAAAATGCTTTCAAGACACTTCTACTAGGGAAAAAATTAAACAACACCCACACACATTATTACCCTTGTATATTATTTTTTGAATCGTTTCTAGTGAACCAATGTAAAAAATAGTTATGGAGGGTGTCCTCGTAAATGTGCACAATCATGGCCTTGCATCAGCATATTTATATGGAAAACATGTACTCCTTTAACTTGGAAGTGTGTTTTTTTTTCTTCAGTACATATAGTTTGTTCGGCCTGATTTGAAATCCTGTAGTGTAACGACCTGATCTCTATGTCCAAGCCTTTATATTTGCTCAATTAATACCAGGATCTAACTTAAGTCTCTTATTAGGCAGAGATCTTGGGTTCGAATTTTGGGGGATGCGATAGAAATCCGTGAAGAGCTAAATGGACAGATGCACACTCAAAACGGACAATACGTATAATATGACGATTTGGGCACGAGACTTAGATCTTTACAAAAAATTGTAATAGCCTAAAATATTTTACACTCCGTTTGATTGCAAATGTGGAAAATAGGTGGAAAAAAATGTTTTACATGGAATTGATTTGCTTAGAAATTATTTTACTGGGAATTGTAATTAATTGTGTTTGATTGGTATAATCCATGGAAAATGTTGAAAATTTAGTGTCAGTTTGGCTTCATTTTTTTTTATGAAAATTGTCCATTAAAGTGATAATTTTTCCATCATTGGGTCTAGAATTTGTTCCAATTGTCAAAAAAATTTGGAAAAAAAATTACCATACCGAATGCCATTCATTTGGCTTTTTTTTTGCATGAAAATTGTCAATAAAAGTGATAAAAAATTTTACCATTGTGTCTAGAATTTTTTTCAATTGCAAAAAAAAAATAATAATAATAATAAAATAAAATAAAATACTGGAAAATATTTACAAACCAAAACATCAAGAATTTATTTTTCTCAAAAATGTGGTAAATTTGGAAAGTTGGAAAATATTTTCCGGGAAAATTTTGCTAATCAAACACTACAAAAGTTGGAAAATGAATTTTCCATGGAAAATATAGTGTATCAAATGGAGTCTTATAGTTGTTAATTATGAAAAGTAGGACCTTAGTGCAAGAGGATGAAGTTAGGAAATAAAATCGCATATCGGCCAATAGTCGAGGGACTACAAGTACAATTTCTTGAACTATATATATGTAATATGAATATTAAGTAAATTGGATGAAAATTAAGTAAGTTTCCTTTTATATATATGAAAGATAAGTTAGGAAGATTCATTACTAAATAAGTAAACTACCATATATGTGTGAAAATATATATATATATATATTACGATTGATTAAGTTAAATTATAGTATTATTATAATTGTGTGCGTCTATATATGTAGAATTATATATATTTATGATTGATTGATTTAAATTATATGATTACTGCAATTACGTACATAAACGATTATTTGAGGTCAAGTTCTTCCGTATGTGTTTTATCAAATCCTTTTCAAATTTACGAGGTAAGTGTAGTTTTATGTTGTATGTTAAATCTTTTTTCATACTTTAAATACGGAATTCAATTTATGAATGTGATATGAATCCTATATGTTTAAATTCAATTAATCGGAGTCTAGTAGCGCTACACTCTGAAATTATAGCAACAAAGTACAGTTTCTTAATTCTCGTGTTTTCCTATGTATGTTATGATTATGTACGGGGATTATGACCACCTAGGTTTGGTTTCTAATTCCCGTGTCTCCTTATGTACGTTAAGAATTCCTAAATTTTAAATATGAATTACGATTTATGTGGCTCACTTATTGAAATTTTATCTCATTATTTATGATTTTCTCTCTTTTAAGTAATTGAGGTTCGAGGCATTGAAGTTTGGAATTAGCCACTGATAGTATAATAAAGAGGAGATAATTTATGAATTTTTTACAATAAATTTTATGATTAAGAAAGTGATTTATTTTTAATTATTGTAACTTTGTGAATAATTATCTCTTATGAAAGTTCTATTTTTATGATGTATATTTAACGACTCAAAGGGTAAGTTTTGGGTCGTTACATATGGTATTATAGTTTTGATGTCTGTTATTTCTATTTCTCTCCATAGATTAATGACTTGTGTTCAAACCAAAAGGCGTCCCCAGTTCGATCTTGGTTCATAGCAATCCAGTGGTTTGCAGTCAGCTGTTAAGACTGTTGTGCGAGAACCATGGATCCTAGCAATGGAGGTAACAATGTCAACAACAATCCTAGTCTGGCTTCTAAGCACCGGCTTCGCTGGACGAATGAGCTTCATGAACGTTTTATTGATGCTGTAGCGCAGCTTGGTGGGCCAGATCGTAAGTTGTTTTCATTTTCTATTTCTCTCTGCCCTTGCAATGCATTGCCACCCCTGGGGAAAAAAAATCGAGGAAAATACACAAATAGCAAATGATAAATACATAATTAGGTAAAAGAATTAATAATAAAACACTAGTTGACTGCATACTGACACAGAAAAGAAAAACAGAGTAACAGTTTCATCTTCAGAAATTTTATTTGGAGAGGTGTTACTCTATTTAATAGTTTAGCTCAAGGTTATTTAATTATAATAAATAGAAACTCATACAATATAGAAGATTTCACCAATTAAAATCAAGTCTAGATAAAGTATTGAATTTATTAAGAGCCCGTTTGTTTCCGATTAAAATCCAATTAAAATTGAAAATATGGTCGTTATTGGGTCCCACTCGTCTAATAAAAGTCAACAATAACGGCTAGTTTTTCAATTATAATCCGATTTTAATATCTACCGAACACGCCCTTAGTTTTTGAGTAAATTGGCTCAGCCAAGTAGGAGAGATCTAAGCCTCTCGAAAGCTTAGAATCTATCTTTCATATTAAGGCCCCGTTCGGGAGGGATTAAAATCCAATTAAAATTGAAAATATGGCCGTTATTGGGTCCCACTCATCTAATAAAAGTCAACAATAACGGCTAGTTTTTCAATTTTAATCCGATTTTAATCTCTACCGAACACGTCATAAGTATAAAAATAAGGATATAATATATAAATCTCAAATAATTTAAGCAACGTATCCGTGTCTACTTTTTTGAAAAATCATGGCACAATTGTGTCTGCCTGACCGTGCTTCTTAGTGGTAAAGACACAGTCTTCATATTATCTGCATTTAGTGATCCGAAAATACTGAATTCTATAGAGAACATTTTGTAAGACTTAGCTTACAACAAACATTGTGGAATTTCATGTTGGCAGATTTCTGTGACTTAAGTGGGATACTCCTAGACCACTCTTCATTCACTCATTAACATAGATTTTATTAGAGTTTTTATTTCCCTATTTCAGGAGCTACTCCAAAAGGTGTTCTCAGAGTTATGGGCGTTCAAGGGCTAACTATTTACCATGTAAAAAGTCATTTACAGGTGTATATGTCATGATATTCTTCAAAATGTCTTTTCCTGTCTGTTTTCTCTGCTTAGTGGCTTACGTTGCTTTTTTATTTTAAACAGAAATATCGACTTGCCAAATATCTTCCAGATTCTTCATCTGATGGTAGGTTAACACATTGCTAATGTATACAAGAAATAGATGTTAATGTAATTATCATCTATGTGTTTCAAGATGTGCTGAACTTTGTAGCATATCTTGAAGTAAATAGCATTTGAAACTTGGCTTACTGGTTCATTTTGTCTTGATTTCTATATACAAGGAAAAAAGAGTGAAAAGAAGGAATCTGGAGATTTGCTTTCCAGTTTGGATGGTTCGTCGTAAGTACAATTTCCTTTTTCTTGTCAAACATTTTTGTTGTCTGACTCACACAATCATGTAATTGTTTCTTGAACCTTCCAACTATTTAAGAATTAAGATATAGGGGACCGTGCCTCCTACCAAGGAATTTGATAAATAATAGCCACCACCTAACTTAAACCAATCTAACGGTCCAGATATATTTTATTAAAACCATTCAAAGTTCCCATACCCACATCCAAACAGACCAATTCCCTATTAATTATATCATTAATACGATTTATTTGTCTTTTCTAAATCAATCTCTATGCGTACTATCTCTCTCTACTCTTACAAACAAGCTTACATTTTCTCCCCAACTCCCTTTTTGATATCAAGACAAAGTCTCTAGCTATTGCTTGTGTGTACTGCTAGCTGTTCTTGAGTAATTTTCCTGCTTCTTCAACTTTGCAATGTGCTTCACCCGTCATAAAACTTTGATGTACATTTACCTTTTTCAAGCTTAAACTGATATGGAATCAAATCGATCCATTTAATGGATTCTTGATTATGAGGTACACAAATTACTCATCTTAGGGTTTGATTTTCAGTTATGATTTATGGTGAGAAAGATTAGTATTAATTAATTGATATACTGAATGTGTGTGTGTGTGTGTTTTATTTTTTAAGGGTATCTCTAATAAAGATTTTTGAAGAAGTCTGAGATATAAATCCAGAGATTGAAGGATAAAGAAACTTGAGAGAAACAAAAAAAGGGCACCCGAAAACAACTGGCTTTCGTTTTGGCTGTCTTCTATGGAAATTGTATCTCTTAATTTAATATCCACTAATTAAATTGGAAAATAAAAGACATATAAATTGTACTGATTATATGATTTATAGGGATTTGGTGTGATTGGATTTGAGTATAGGGATTTTAAATGGTTTTAATGAAATAGATCTAGACAGTTAGATTAGCTTAAGTTTAAGGGATGTGATTATTTGTCAAATCCCTTGATAGGAGGAATGGTCTCCTATATATATCCCGTTTTCTATTTTGTATTTGTGTTTAATACATTGTTTATAATGGTTTATTTCTTTGATTAAGTGCTCTTTTTTTTCTATTTTATTTATTTATTTATTTATTTATTTTTTGTTGCAGTGGAATGCAGATCACTGAAGCACTCAAGCTGCAGATGGAGGTTCAAAAACGACTGCAAGAACAGCTGGAGGTATACTGTTTGTTGTTTTCATTGTCCCATGGCAATCTCTTTCCTGCCACTTTCACAACCAAATGTTTCTTGATGATGAAATAGTTTCTTTTATTTGAGTAAATAAAAAAATAGTTGTATAAATAGACCAATATCAAAAACTCAAATGAGCCGCTGAACTTTGGGACTGCTTTCTATTTGGTCACCCAACTTTTTTTTCCCTCAAAATGGTTATCGAACTCATGTTTTGATTTGAGGTTGGTCATCCCAGGTTAAAGATGAGTGACTAAATTGAAACATGACAATAAGTTTAGTGATATATGAATTGTTTACCACTCCCTCTTCTAACATGTTTTATTGAGATTGTATCAATGAACCATGTTTTATTGAGAATTGTGTCACTCTTGTGACTAGAAGCTTAGGACATGCCATTACGTTGAGTATCTTTCTCTTAGTTTGTTTTTCATTGTTCTTACCTCCACTTGTTGGCAGGTATTCTTATTTTTTATCATGTCATTTCTAGTATTGTCACACATCCATCTTAGCATCATCACTTGTACTAGGTTCATCTTATGAATATTTTTATTCTTTAACAGCTCAACATTTTGTAGATTTAGTGCAGTAAAACATAACATGTCTATTAAGGGTTTTGTAGAACTGACCTTTTTACGTTATTATGGGGATTTTTGCATCACGTAAGATTTTTGTAGCACTTCTTTGTGTCAACTAACCCGTTAATAACCTATATATTACAACCTTATCCAGGCCACCTTCAGTGTTAATAATTGAACCTAATTACCTTATGTAATCATCTTTAAGACAACATGGTCCTCTATAGTGGCGAACCTTTTATAATCTTTATTCCAAGTACATTGCATTTATTCCTCCGAAGTTTTATATAACCTGAAACTTTTAGATTCCAAATTACTCCAAAATTTTGATTCACGAGTTGGCCCTTCGACCACCACCCTACACACACACACACGTGTCTCGTCTATTGAAACTATGTCATCAGGACAGACTGAGGAACCTCAGATTGAATATGTACTGTAAGCTGATCCATAATATAAGTATATAACCAATCAACTTCATTTTTTTCCTTTTTGCGTTCACTGAGCAATGTTAAGATCTAGATAATGTAATAAAACTGATTGTCAGACAAAGCTTCCACTGGGAAGGGAGGAAGTGTATATGAAGCTGTTGAAGGTTGCCTTTTTTTTCCCAGGACGCTGCTGATGCTTTCTTTCATGTACAGTTTATTTTGTGCATGAGAAGTTGTGTTGGTAAATGAACAGGTCCAAAGACAGTTGCAGTTGCGGATAGAAGCTCAGGGAAAGTATTTAAAGAAGATAATTGAAGAACAGCAACGCCTTAGTGGAGTTCTTTCAGGAGTGCCTGGCTCAGGGGTTCCAGCTCCTGTATCAGGGGACAATTGCCTAGAAACTGATATTAAAACTGACCCAGCAACTCCTGCTTCAACATTTGAGCATCCTTCTCGGGGCAAGCCTGCCAAAGAATGTGTCCATGCCCAGAGCCTTTCCATAGATGAATCCTTCTCCTCCCATCACGGGCCTCTAACACCTGATTCTGTCTGTCATTCGACTTCACCAGTTGCGAGTCCAAGCCAAATACGAGGAAAGAAGCAAAGTGTAAACACGGAAGCATTCGGAGAACCAGAGATGGTGCTTACCCATTCGATACTCGAGTCAAGCTTGGGCCCACATTCAGTTTTCTTGACAAGTGAGCAGTTTGATCATTCTTCAGGTATATCTATTGTCAATCAAGACCCATTGGAAAAAGCTTCAGGTGGCCGTGTATAATTCGTTGTGGTGCAGGTTACTTTCGTTTCTGGGTTATTTGTTTATCACCTTGTAACAAGTCTTGTTCGTCTAGCGTCTGAACATTCATATATTTGTTAGGTAGAAGAGCTGTTGTACCCCGTGTTTAGGTGTTACGAAAATATTAGGGTCTAAATCCTAAATTTCTGGATTTGCTCAAACTCTAAATTTACTACGCTTGAAGTTTCAGTGAACATTTGAAAATTTGTTGGAACAGGCCAGGAATGTCAGGAATATATGAGTAGGTACCGGGGTAGGTACCGGCGCCATCCCTTGTATAACACGGGTCAACATAATAGGTGTCGGTGTGATGCTAGCAAGAATAATGATATTTGTATCTCATGATTTACAGATTGATTTATAGAATGATATATTAACAGACTTCTAGCTAGCTTCTTCTTTTTACTTCTCTCTTTTCTTTTTCTCTCTCTTCCACGTCATCAGTTTGTAAATCAATTTGTAAATTATGATGTACAAATATCATTACTATGCTAGCAATACCGTATTCACATGTTAGCGTCTTTTTTGAGACGTTGACTAATTTGTAACAATAATAAAAACAGCATACAATTATTTAATTTTACTTTGATCCCCTTAAAATAAGGCAACATTTGTAATTGATTTGATGCAAATTGGCCTTTATTTTTTCAGAACCTGTTTTCAATTATACATTTTTTCGTAAAATTTTTTCTTATTTTTTAATTATACATTTTTCAAAAAAAAATAAAAAATTTACTATTTCAAAACTTATTTTTCTCCAAACTTCCATTAAAATGAAGCCCAAACAAGGGCTGTTCTCAAACAATCCACTCTTAGCAAAAAAAAAAAAAAAGAGAAGCAACAATTAGCTTTTTGAATATTGCTTTTAATTTATCCAATTATTCATAAGGAAAATAAAATTAATTCGTTCCATGTTTTAAGTTTGTCAATAATCTACGTGTAATTGTACTATAAATTTATACAACAGTAAATCAACGTTCATCATCATGTAAAAACATTCTTCTATTCTTTTTTCTCTTGATCGTTGACGTATCAAATATATTTTCTAATACATGTTTTGTTCCAACATTGACCCTTCATTACACTTAGGGGCGGAGTCAGAAAATTCATTCAGTACGAACACAATTTAATAGACGTCGAATTTTTTAATAATGATAAAAATAAAACAATATTACAAAAATACTAAAAATGATGTAGATTATATATTACACTTGTTCTTTACGAGTTTTCATACTTTGATATTGTTGTACAATAACTTTACTATAAATCTTCAAAAATTATCTCATTCAAAAAATTGGATTTCTATACTAAGATGTATTGTGTTTTTGTCTTGTAAAACCTTATTCAAAAAAAGAATAACGAATTTTTATACTAGAATGTATTGTTGTTTTGTCTTACAAAAAAACTTGGATATCTCATTTTTACATAGAAACTCTGTCAATTCATAGATGCATCCCATCGAATATGGGAAGATAAAACTTTGATTAGTCATATTGCAAGTGCTTATTACATTTATCTTTAGCATACAATTCAACGAATAGACAAATGCAGGCAAACTTTAGCATACTAATTCAACAAATTTTGGTTCATCCCATCGTTGCATTTCAAATATGGGGCTCTCAAAATAATAATAAAAAATAAAAAATAAAAAATGCTTGAGCCACTTGCCTGCACTAGACCATATGGGGCTCCACCCCTGATTACACTTTTGTCATCAACTTTTTTATACGAGAAGTTTAAACACAACCTTAATTAACTAAGCAATTCACCCATGACCCAACTCCCATCTTCTAACTCACAAAACCACCACACGTATGCCACCATCCCAACTCCATAACTGTAAAGAATAATGCTGTCTAACACAAATAAAGTTATAATACCAATTTAGGTGACTACAGTTTATAAGTTCAATTAAATGAGTTATGCGTGAATTTGCATTTAAATAAATATATCATTTAATATCATATAATTATCATTTAGATTGATGCTTAGCTTAACATCAGTTGTGATAAATATCATTGCTCAATCGTAAGATATTACGGGACAAGAAGGTGAGTTTAGACCGACTTAAAAAAAATTATTGTAAATAACTTTCTTTTGAATGAAAAAATTTATAAATACTATAATAGTTCAAATTTAATAGCCAAACAACTCACAAATAGCGTGAAAGTAATTTTTCCGTACACTAACAAGGTATCTATCCTAAATTGAGATTTCAGTGATTTTTTTTTAAAAAAAAAATATTATAAATTTTAATGAATTTCCTGAATTTGAATAGAATTTTATAAAATTTATTAAAATCTCATATAAAATGATGAAATTTTAAAGAAAATTGTTAGGTATATTTTTAAAATGGGTTAATTTCACAAACGGTAAGTTATCTGAAAATCACAAAACAATCACTGAAGTTTAAAACTTGTAGAAACGATAACTGAAATTTAATTTCTTTTACAAACGGTCACTGAATTTTCAAATTTTTTGGGCAAGTTGCGTTGATTTTTCGGCAACTTCCGACCACCATACCGTAGGATTTGGATACCGTTGGAAAGCCCACAATGTCCTCTTCAATTACCATAAAAAATCTCCCCATAACTCCAAGGGATTCGGCTGAAATATACCCACGAAGTCGGCTACCGAAAACTCTGAAAATCTGCCCAGATTTTCAGATTTTTTAGGCGAGTTTGCGGCAATTTTTCAGCAACTTCCAACCACCAATACCACCGATTTCGGATACCGTTGAAAAGCCTACAATGTCATCTTCAATTACACGAAATATCTCCCCATAACTCTAATGGATTCAGCCAAAATAAACCCACGAAATTAGATACCCAAACCGCCAGATTTTTATATTTTTTTGATAGCTGATTTCGTGGGTTTATTCTGGCGAACCCCCTGGAGTTATGGAGAGATTTTTGGTGGTAATTTAAGAGGACATTGTGGGCTTTCCAACGGTATCCAAAACCGGCAGTATTGGTGGTCGGAAGTTGTCAAGTTGCCGATAAATTGTGGTTAAAACTGATTGTTAATTTTGACTTAGATTAAAGTCATTATCAAATAACGATATATATTATAACTAATCCTGCTCCACACGGGGAATTTAAAAAATGAGGTAACGATTGTTGAAGGTACGACGATTCGTATAGTTCAATTTGCCACAAACTTGCCCAAAAAATCTGAAAATTTGGGCAGATTTTCAAATTTTTCGGTAGCCGACTTCGTGGGTATATTTCGGCCAAATCCCTTGGAGTTATAAGGAGATTTTTTGTGGTAATTGAAGAGGATATCGTGGGCTTTCCAACGGTATTCAAATTCGGCGTTTTGGTGGTCGGAAGTTGTCGGAAAATCTCAGCCAAACTTGTCCAAATAATATGAAAATTCAGTGACCATTTGTGAAAGAAATTTAAAATCCAGTGACCATTTCTGCAAATTTTAAACTTCAATGACCGTTTTGTGATTCTTAGGTAATTTCAGTGACCATTTGTGAAATTAACCCTTTTTAAAATTGAAATTCATTCTTTAGAAACATCTACGTTAATGAATTTTTATAAATTTAAAAGTTATTGGGGATGCTTAAATTTAAGAAAATATATGTATTAAAATTTCAATTAGAAAGATTTTAATTAATTCATATAAACTTTTATTACTCCCTCCGTCCCAATTATATAGGCTTGTTTGGTTTTTCACACAGATTAAGAAAACTTATTTAATGTCATTGGAAAATTAATTTTTGTCAAGATCTTTCCTAGTTTACCCCTATTTAATTTTTAATGGGTAAAACTAAATTATTGTTGGAATTCATAAAGAATTTGAATTTTCAATAAGTTTGCATATTAAGTGGGGAAAATTTAATAAGGGTATATTAGTAAAAGAACACAATAAAATATTCTACATTAGGAAACAAGCCTATATATTTGGGACAGGAGAAAAAGGAAACCCAGCCTATATAATTGGGACGGATGGAGTATAATTTGAATAGAAGATAAATTTAGAAAAAGAACTTTTAAAATTCATAAATTGACAAAACTGCAAACTTAAAACCCTAACCCTAATTCTTCAGCTAGCAAGCTTGAACCCCAGGATGAAGAAGAAGCAGAAGATTAGAGCCTCTTCCTCCACGCCCACACCATTCGTTGAACTGAAATCAATAATCCTATCGCACAGCCAATTCTTCGACCATTTAGTTGAATTGATTCCGGCTAAATTTTACCTCTCAATCGACGACGCAGAGTCCAAGCCCTGGTACCAGGGTCTCTCCAAAGCAGCCAAAGCCTCTTTGAAACAACAATCTAGGCAAAACCTTAAACTCGCCCGCCGCAACCGCCTTGACCCGGAGAACAAGTCGTCATCCTCCACCCTCCACCTTCTCCAACAACAAATTAACAAAATACCGGAATCCGACCCAGATGAACTGAATCAGAAGGGTAGTTTTGGTGATTTGGAAGAGGGTGGTGACGCGGGGGAGGCTCGGGTTAAGTCTATTGATTTGGAGGAGGGAATTGGGAATGTAAATAGGAATGAGTCTGTTACTTACGAAGAGTTGCGGCAGAAATTGCGGAAAAAGATTGAGTGGTTGCGTGGCAATCGGGGAGAGGGTGGAGGAAAAAGGTTTGATGATAAGAAGAGGAAGAGGGGTGAGAATGATGGAGAGGAGAGTAGCAAAGCGGTGAATGTGGATGTGAATGAGGGGGAAGACGGGGAGGAGATTATTGAATATGGGAAAGTTAAATTAGGGGATGAGGAGGAGAGGAAGAATAAGAAAACGAAGAAGAATAAAATGTCGAAAGTGAAGGAGTTGGAGAAGGTGAAGAGGTTGCAGGAGGTGAAGAGGGAGAACATGGGTGTGGCCGAGAGGGAGTCTTGGAAGGCAGCAACCAGCCGAGCAATGGGGGTGAAGGTGCATGATGATGCAAGAATGATCAAGGAGAGCATGAAGAAGGAGAAGAGGAAGAAGGAGAAGAATGTAATACTATAATAGTTCAAATTTAATCGCCAAACAATTCACAAATAGCGTGAAAGTAATTTTTCCGTACACTAACAAGGTATCCTAAATTGAGATTTCAGCGAATTTTTTTAAAAAAATATATTATAAATTTTAATGAATTTCGTGAATTTGAATAGAATTTTATAAAAAATTTTAAAATTTTATATAAAATGATGAAATTTTAAAGAAAATTGTTATGTATATTTTTAAAATGGGTTAATTTCACAAACGGTCACTGAAGTTCCTAAAAATCACAAAACGGTCACTGAAGTTTAAAACTTGCAGAAACGGTCGCTGAAGTTTAATTTCTTTCACAAACGGTCACTGAATTTTCAGATTTTTTTTGGCAAGTTTTGCGTTGATTTTTCGACAACTTCCGACCACCAAAACCGTCGGATTTGGATACCGTTGGAAAGCCCACAATGTCCTCTTCAATTACCACCAAAAATCTCCCAATAACTCCAAGGAATTCGACAGAAATATACCCACGAAGTCGGCTACCAAAAACTCTTAAAATCTGCCCATATTTTCAGATTTTTTGGGCGAGTTTGCGGCAATTTTTCGGCAACTTCCGACCACCAATACCGCCGATTTCGGATACCGTTGGAAAGCCCACAATGTCATCTTCAATCGGCTTTTCAATGGTATCCGAAACCGGCAGTATTGATGGTCGGAAGTTGCTGGAAAATTACCACAAACTCGCCCAAAAAATCTGAAAATCTGGGTAGATTTTCAGATTTTTCGGTAGCCGGTTTCGTGGGTATATTCCGGCCGAATCCCTTGGAGTTATGGGGAAATTTTTGGTGGTAATTGAAGAGAATATTGTGGTCTTTCCAACAATATCCA